TGTGAGAGAGAGAGTTGTAAATGGGCAGTGTTTAGCACAGCGGTCTTCAGACAAGCCGCTTGTCACATGTGTGTCTTTAATAGCAAGGGCTGTTCACAGTGGATGTGGCCCCCTGATGCTAATGACTGTGGACAGGTGATTTTAAGAGGACACCAAAAAGCTTTTCCCTCAATTTTCAGGGGCCGATGAGACGCAGGTCGTTCGACTCTCTCTCATATAGATGGCAGCGAGCGGGCAGATCCATAAGTCACAGCCTCCCCTGATCGCGTTTGGAAATACTAATGCATCTGCGGCGGGGCGACAGGGGTCAGGTGGCTGCTGCATGGGACCATTAATTGAGTTTAAATTAGAGGGGCTTCTGAATGCAGAGGTACAAGATGCTGCGCGGGGTGATTTAATGGTTCCCACACACAGATGTTATGCCTCAGTGCTCTCACTGTCTGTCACTCTGTGTGTTTGTGTGTGTATGGCAGTTTAGTATTTAGAGGTAGTGAGTGAACTTGCCAAGAAAGTCTGAGCTTTGATTGCACCTCTGTCTTATATAAGATGTATTGGTTGTAAATCATTGACATGGTAGTCAGAATCCTCTTGCTGAAAATGCAGAGGCACATCTAAAGCTATTGTGTTTGCTGCCAGGTCCACGCTAAGGATTCTGGGCTAATGGTACAGTCAAGAAAATGAGGTAATTTCATGCTGTATGAAGTGGGGCTTTTAAAGGCTCAAGCTTTTGTTGGGCTGCCCAGTGGCGTAGGGAGTGTTTATTTGAAGGGGTTTGGTCTTACAAATGCTTCTGTTTACCTAGAACTCAGGTACAGGCTGTCTTAAGGATGTGATAAGTGATCATTTAACATGTTTTTGTCAATCATGCAGTGAGGGATTATAAACTTTTTTGTGCATAAATGCATGTGTGTATACACTACGCTCAAAATCTTGGGGTCAGTAAGATTTTTTTAAAAGAAATTAATGTTTTTTATTAGCAAGGATCCATTAAATGGATCGAAAAGTGGCAGTAAAGACATTTATAATGTTAAAAAGTATTTCTATATCAAGTAATATAATCTTCTTTTGAATCTTCTATTCATCAAAGAATCCTGAAAGACAAAAGGTATCATTATTTCCACAAAATGAATAAGACATTTTTCTAGTGCACCAAATCAGTAATGACTGCTGAAATTCAGCTTTGTCATCACATGAATAAGTTATTATTATCATTATTAATAAGTTAAGTTAAAACAGTTATTTTAAAATGTAATAGTGCTGTTTTTTTGTTCAAATAAATGCAGCCTTGGTGAGCATAAGAACTTCTTTAAAAGCATTAAAAGATCTTTCCGACCCCAGTCTTCTGAACAGTAGTCTATGTCACACACTGAGGTGAGAAATGAGCACTCTGTACTGGATTAATTAGATCTAGATTATGATTTATTCACATTAGTTTAAGTGCTACCACTTGGAATTAATCAACTGTACAACTGTCTGTTGCATAGGTCCATTATTTATTTATTTTTTTTGTAAAAATGTTTAAGTTCACTAAATGTAATGCTGTAACACTGAAAATATGTGGAAATGGGAAAAAATTGTATATTGTGACAAGTTTTGTGCAAGTACATTTCTTTCATTTTGAAGGAGCTGTAGTGAATGGACCCAAAGTTGATTGCCCTCCCATTGTGCTCATTAGAAGCAGAACCCTATATAGACTTTCACAAGGTCTTCACTCTGATTGGTGGAAATGATGAACTCCTGTGAAGTCGAAAGCTTGTGATTTTGTCCTGTGCAGTGGGTCTGTATGTAATATGTTTGATCCATGTGCATCGTATATGATCTACAGTGCTGGTGTTGATTCTCCACTAATGACTGCATGGTACATCACAAAATATGCAGCCACAATATGTTGTTATAAAATAATGCATTCATATGTTGAACAGTAATATGCATCACATCGTGAGCTGTCTCAGCTCTAATTTTCACCACTTGCCAGTTTTTCCTCTTTCATTGTGGCTGCTCCAACTGTATTGTTTGCCAAGGGAGAGGTTGCAGAGATACCTCATCATGGGCCAGAGGTAGAGAACTGGCCAGGTTTGGAATATTCTGGTGGTTTGACTTTGCTTCTGAGTCCTATTCATGAATATTGCATGACGGGCTGTAAAAGGTGAGTTTTGATATCGTACTGGACTGCCACTGATCAATGCTCTCCATGTAAAGGTGTCCGCATGTGTGAACAGTGCAAAGGATTTCACTCTCATTTACAGATTCGCTTGCGTGGACTTACCTGTTTTTTACCATTATGATGAGCGAGCTATTTAAATGTCACTGGAAGTGCAATAGAACATTGGAATTTCAAAAGCTGACATTTGAACTGAAGCGTATGTGTTTGTGGTGGCATTAATGCTGTTGTTATTGTTTTCACTGTTGTTGTTTTCAAAAGCATCATGAATGACACCCTGACACGCCATTGACATCTGGAACATATTTCTGTATCAGTATGAGTGTAAAGGTCTCACACGCGCCTCCATGAATTCATATTTTTCCAAGTTACACCCAATCCCATGATGGAAAGACCAGTTTCCGGCTACTAATTTGGCTAATGTGAATTCCCATATTGGTGCAGCTGGTGGACCAGTGGAAAAATGCTGGTCAATGGGCTTCATTAGATAGACCAGATTGGTTCTGTTATCATTTACTCATCTTGTTGTTCCAAACTTTGTCTGACTTTTTTGTGGAATGCATAAGAAGATATTTTGAATAATGTTCTGTTTGCTCTTTTACAATGAAAGGGGACTGAATCTTGAAGCTTTGAAAAAAAAAAAAAAAGATGCAAAAGCACCATAAAATGAATAATATACAACTCGTGCACTATTTTTCATATGGCTTCGGAAGCAGTATGATTGCTTGATGAATAGACTGAAGTTATTATTCACTGATAATCTTCCCCTCCAGTGAGCTGTTAACCACTGCAAACAGATCTTTGAGTCAGTCAGCCTGTCAGTTTTCTACTCTCCTCTATTTTCATCAAAAATAAATAAAAGATCAGACTGAAATGATTATTTATACATGAATCAGATATCATTACTTTTCAAGTGTTTTCAGTGAAGTCAAGATTTTCTTTGAATAATGAGTTAAATTTTGTTTCTCTAGAGATCATATGGCTTCAAATATAGCACTTTAAGTTGTATGGACCATCTGTATGTTTCTTTTATGGTGCTTTTTGCTGTTTTTGAGGAAGGTATTTAAAAAAAATATAGCTTTGGAATGACATGAATGGGAGTAAATCATGACAGACTTCAATTTTTTTGAGTATACTCTTATAAATAAAGGTTCTTTATTGGCATTTATGATCCCTTGAATTACCTCTAACATCTATGGAATCTTTCCATTGCACAAAAGGTTATTTTTAGTTGAAAAAGTTAGTTTTTCAAATTAAGAAACAATTTATCTTTTAAAGGGGTCATCGGATGCCCATTTTCAACCAGTTGATATGATTCTTTAGGGTCTTAATGAAAAGTCTATAACATACTTTTGTTAAAAAATATCAATGGTAGTGTAAAACAACACCCTTTTTACCTTGTCAAAAACAGCTCTGTTCACAGCAAGCCGTTTCAGTGCATGTCCCTTTAAATGCTAATGAGCTCTGCTCACCCCGCCCCTCTTTTCCGTGGGGTGACAAGCTGTTCTCTGAGAGATTGTAAACTTTAGCCGCATTCATCGTGAAACTTGCTAACTAGCACATTATTAGGAAAGGCGATTTGCAAAGATTCATAAAACTTGTACTCACTTCTTCTGGAGGTGAGGCTGGATCACAAATGATTCACACGAACATAGACACATTTAGGTAGATTGGGGGCGCATTCCCTTCAAAAACAAAAGTAATCCACTGCGTCTTCAGTAGCTCAGATATTGAGAGTAAATGACGACTACTATGTTCATTATTACATCCAACAACAAAGCACCTCAATCGCTTAGGAGACATTATTGTCTACCCCTGCTCCAGCGTCGAAACAATGGCGGACTGTTCACAGCTCACTCAGGGCAGGTCAATGCTTAAACGCTAGTGTCAATCAATAGTCGTGGGAGGGGCCTGGGTCTGTGTGACGTCACACATCCAAGAATCTGAGAACGGCTTGATTTGAGAAAGGGGTTATCATTTATCGGGATTTAAAAAAAAGCACTGGGTGGATTTTTATCATTAGAGGGTGGTTGTGTACACACACTGCCGAGATTTCAGTTCGAACATGTAAAAGTGAATTTTGCATCCGATGACCCCTTTAAGAACTATCCACTAAAAGGTTCTTTGGGTAACTCAGAAAGGTTCTTCTATGTAATCCCTATGAAAATTCCCTTTTGGAACCTTTATTTTTAAGAGTGTAAACAATCACCCAAAGCTATTCCAGCAGCCTTTTAGGGACATACAGTATGCTGGTCTATTCAACAGGATAGGCTATCCATGTATCCAGAACTGCTGTTCAATAATCTACAGTACCCTTACATTCACATCCATTCTCATACTTTTATTTGTTCTCTTTTACGTTCTACTTGACCATGTTCATCATCCCCCATCCATTACATGCCTCTCTTCTTCTTCTCTCCCTCCTGCAGTGTGGCCGGGATGCAGAGAACTTTGACCGCTTTTTCACCCGCCATCCACCGGTTCTCACCCCTCCAGACCAGGAGGTCATCATGAACCTCGACCAAGACGAGTTCGAGGGCTTTTCCTTCATAAACCCCGAATACCCTGCCATGGAAGCCCAGAGTTAAGGGCGACCTCCTAAAACTAACCCAGCCCTCCATCAAACCCCCTCTTCATCAAACCTCCTTACGTTTATGTATCATACACTCCATAAAACGGGCACGTGTATGTACATAAACAGCCATGCACAGAATCTAAACCATCTATATACATATGCATGCGAAACTTCGATATTCGTAGATTAGCCTGAAGGTCGTTGTCGGCTTTCACGACATCCCATTGAGTGTGTCCATGCTGGAGGAACGTTCGAATCTAAAGGCTGTCTTTATACTATTTGTACTCTACAGCTTTCCTGAATGTGGTGTGTATTGCATAGCTCTCTTCTAAACTATCCTCAGATGTGTGTGTTTCGGGCACCGCCAGTGTTCCGATTCAGCCATTTGCACTAAAGGTGCATGAATCGCATATGAGATGCACAATGGCTAGCCTCGCTCTCCTTATCCAGCCTGTGACAGTGATATTCTGCTGATTTTTATACTCAAACCATTTTGCCTGTTTCAAAAAGAATGCAAACTCAAAAGGTTTTTGCATGACGATTTTGTTTTGCCCGAACTTTTATGATACATATGTCGTTAGTTAGCTCTGTAGTGAACCCTAGTCTTGCTTTAATCTCTGACTTGCATTGTACAGACAAGTACATAACAGAAATTGACCAAAGTTTTTCTTTTTCTTTTTTTGGAAGCATGAGTAAATCTGACTTTTTTAGGATGCCTGTATCCTGTTTGCGTGTATGTATGGGCCAATAGAGCTTAATGGATGTGCCTGATTGTGGTAGTGATCTGCTTTTTTTTGCCTGATCATCTCACACCATCAGCAAACACTCACCCATGTACAAGAAGCATGACTCCTGTGATGGTTCCCGTTGGCTCTTCCTTGTTTAACACTTGACTTCTGCTTGAAGGTCAGCCGGATTTTATCGAGAGGTATTTGACAGGCACATTAAATATCAACTACCTCCTGCTTGAGACAATTACAGATTGAGACAGGACGAGAGAACAAGTGCTAATATCAGAAACGAGCTAGCGCTGTAGCCAATAACCATGTATTACTGACCCCTATGTTAGATATGCATGTTTTAATGGGTACGATCAGGAAGCATTTTTCAACATCATTGGGGTTTACGATGACAAAGAGATGAGTAGTCACCCATGGGTAATATCACAGAATTATACCCTGTATTTCATTGAAGAGCTTGTGTATGAGCAAATTAGTCTAGTTGGGACGCACTGATATAGCTTCACTTCGCTTGAATGATTCCGTCTTGAAGCTTGTCAATAGAGACCCGCCGCATTATATTATGCTGAAACTTGTTATGTGAAAACCCTGAAAGAATACCACAACATTTGTGTGGAACACAATATTGCGCTTCGAAGGCGAAGAGAAGAACAGGATATAAAGACGACTAATAATTTGCAGCACAATTAGACGGTGTAGCTTTGGAAATAAAAAATTTCAAGCGTGTAAACATTGCTCATAAGCGACAATAGGGGTCCGTTGAAGCTATCTGTTGTTGTGTCAATGGGTCCAACACGGGCTGGTCAGTGCTTTAATATGGTGTCCTAATTTAGCATGCTGACAACTCCGATACGACAGTCGGTTAGAAACGCGAGCACTGTTCATGTCAGCGGTAACAGCAGCGAAGTCCCTGTGAGGAACAGATACCGTATCACTAAATGGAACTGGAAAGGCCACAAGAGCCACACATCCACAGAAACGGGTCAGATCCTCTCAGTTCCCTGAGCGGTTATCCGTGCTGACTAGCAGCCAGTGACTTTTATTGGAAACCACTGGGGCTTCATATCATATCTTCATCATAGGATTTCAGGGAAGGGATAACCTGTCTATAATGGTGAAGGTTTCCAGATCTGTTGTGGTTTGCAGGATAAGACACTTTTGGTTAAAACAAAGAAGAAAAAAGGACAAAAAAAATTTGTGCATTTGTCATTTCTGCCAAAACATATAGCGAGCAGTTCAGTGTAGGGCTTTGATATTCTTTTTTTTTTAAGTGTCTTAAAATAATATAAGCAAATAAAATGTGTCAAATGTTCTTAAATGTATTTTGAATGAATTTTATGTGGTCAGTATTGTAGATAAAAATAAATGAAAAGGGGGGATTTTTGTGTTTTCTATACCTTAAAATGTGCATAGAAGCTTTATGCATGAATTACAGAAAACTAGCCTAGTGTTTTAGTGAGTGCTCTTGACCTTTCTGTGTGCTTTGCTTCATACATCCTCAATGCTTTTCTTGTGCCAAAGTATTTTCCACTAAAAACCACGAGTATGCATTTAAATAAAACTGAAACATCAATAGCCTTTGTTTGGTTTTGCGTAGTTTCCCTCATTGTAGTTTTGAGTGTATATAACCATGAAATTCAACCATGCCTGTAATATGAACTCTGGAAACACAAAAGACTGTTTTCTATTCTAAGACCCTGATGTAACATTTTATTAGATCACATAAAGCATTATTTGTATGTGTTTCTGAACCGCTTGGCAGAGGAAGTCTTGTCAATTTGCTCAGAGCATCGCCTGACGCCTGTATAAAACCAACTTGGACGGTGTGCAGCACGTGCCCACGCTAAGCTCTGCATATTTCATGCCTGCCACTTAACATGAGAACATTTCATCCTGTTCCACCACCATTCAGCCAATGACATATGGGAAGAACATACATAAGGGTGGGTGAAAACTAGAGAGACGCTTTATATGCCGTATTAAACATGCTGCGAACGCTTATTGTGAAAATTGGGAGTGGTGGATGGCCTGCTTATGTAAGTAGCACCGTAAAAATTAGCATGGGGGTCTCGGAGATCTTTCAAACTTGTTGTTTTTACATGTATGCGGTACACAGTTGAGTCTGGCGCTCCGCATAAGAGTGTTAATTAATTATGAATGTCGCAGCCTCAAATTAAACGAGTCGGTTAGCACGAAGTGTGTGCGGCTTAGCTGAAAACAGGTCAGTGTTTGATACTGCTGTTTTCTTCTTGCGCTGACATCAGCTCGCCGCTAATCCGCTCCTTTATAGAAAGCTCTGTGCTTTCGAATCGCACAAAATTACAGCATCACGATTGGAATTAAAGCCTGGCAAAATGAACAGCTTGGATTTAAAGGAGGGTGTCTCTCGTCTTTTCTCTCCTATACCTGAGAGCTTTTTTTTATTATTATCGTTCCCTTCGGGGCTTTTGGTACAGCATGCATTTCAAACTCTATCTCTGCTATATATCTGTATGAAAAATTCAGATGGGCTCTGCTGAGGTTCAAACATCTCATCCTGGTATTCTCGATGTGTCGACGTCCCTTGTTCCGCTGTCATCCACCACTATCTTATATGTCCACGTGTATCATAGCCTGTTTATGGGAACTGAGCTGCCCAGTGCGCCCGTGCTAATCTCATTTTGTCAAACAGACCTGTATCTAATCAACACAGAATGGCACTGGCCTGCATCAGCATGGCAAGCTAGCATGGATATTCCTGTCAACTGAGACCATTTTGGACCATCATTCATCTCTAATTAGTGTCATTTATCATTTAGACGCTTCAGGATGACAAAGATTTTGTTGGATGTTCTTTTTACGCTCTTTGATCTGTTATATCATTCTGATGCTAACGGTTTACACATTTTTTCAGTTCCTGGTACCCAGCACTACACCTGTGCCTTCATGCCTCCAACGGTCAATTGCCAGTTTAGGTATCTAAATGTGGATTTATGACTGATGCTAATTGTAATGTTATATTTTAGCGCTTTGAAGAATATATGTGAAAATATTTTTAATTTGTATTTTTCAAATTTAACAACTTTTTGTTACAAATTATATTATCAGCATAACAGTTTAAAATAACATTTTTTTTGTTGTTGTTGTTGGTTTTCTTATGCCATTTAATAGATATGTACATTTTATTATAATTTTTTATATATATTTAGTTATATTAATAATGCACTTAAGTTTCAAAATTATGAAACTTTTATTTCCAGATGTTTTTTGTTTTATTCTTATTTATATATTTATTTATTCATTCACTCACAATTCTGAAACTTTGTTATTTCTGGATTTAATTTTGAATTGAAATTTTCTTTTTCATTATAATTACATTTTTTATTATTTTACTGTTATATTATTAATTCATATATTTTTGTTTACATTTTTTTAAATTCAGAAACTTTATTTATTTCTAGAGTTAAATAAAATTTTGTATCCCAGGCTTGTGGGCTGTCAGACTTTTGGACCCCACTGTATCTTATAATGTATCACACATATACATGGATCCATGCAACAGTAGACAGATTTATAGACTCATTAACTCTGCAGGATAATTACTAGATTTAAAACTAGTCATTCAGAATCACGTCTGCGTTGACCTACAGTCCTGAGGTTTCCATGCCAATGCCCAGTGCCATTTTTCTCTGAACTGTTTGGCTCTTGAGAGCCCAGGTAATCTAGTGGCCATCACTCTGGAGTTGTGGCTTGTGTGCTTCGCTGTGCTGTGGTGTGCTTGAACCAGCAAATGGACATAAGGTAGGAAATGTGCTTCTGTTGTTGTATCATATATCTTCCTCCTGTCTACTGTATTCTTTCTGTCTGGAGCTGTTTTTATCCATGAGCCAGGAGATCTCAAACGCTCTTCTGGAGTCTGGACCGTCTCTCTTCCCCAGTTTTCTCTTGTTTGATGTGATCTGCATACCAATATTTGGAGTCATATGTCTTCTCTGCATCTGCGATCTTGGTTGTTTGTAAATCCTTTTTGCTGTGCTTTGACGGCACTCTCATCCCTCTCTCTGTCTTGCTCACCTGAAAGCGACTTGTCTCTGTGTTCAGGTGCTGTGTTCATTGCCTTTAAAAAAAAGAGATCACACTGCCTTGTCGTTGTTGGTTTATTGTCTTCAAAACATACTGAATGTTTCTTTAATACCGAGCGTTATGCTGCCTAAAACAACTCTGCACTTCCCACAATTCCCTCAGGCCCACCATTGACCAGAAAGCTGAATTATTTAGCTGGAAATAATGACTTAACTGAATTGCATTGTTTTTCCAAGACAGGCTTCATTTTTGGCCTTATTATCCAAGCAGACATCCAACAGATTATGATTAATTTGTGAGAAAGGTTAGCACTCGTGTATATATTCTGGGCCACCATGATTATTCTCTGTTCTTCTCTTAATGTCTAAAAGTCAGTGTGAACTTCCAGAATGTGACATATTTTCAAGTGAAACAGGATATTCAACAAGAAAAAATTCTGAAATAGCCTGCAGCATTGGCAAAAAAGGAACATAACTTCAGAATAAGAGCAAGTTATTGCATTTTGATTAAAGATTTTAAGGTCTTGTTAAAGGGGTCATATGATGCGATTTCAAGTTTTCCTTTCTCTTTGGAGTGTTACAAGCTCTTGGTGCATAAAGAAGATCTGTAAAGTTGCAAAGACTAAAGTCTCAAATCCAAAGAGATATTCTTTATAAAAGTTAAGTCAACCACGTCTACCTAAAACGGCTCGTTCTAACACGCCCCCACATGTCTACGTCACGAAGTAGGAAGATTTTCATAACGCTGCCCAAATGTTCACACAAAGAAAGGAGTAACTTTTATTCTCGCTGTAGTATTGTTGTTGCCATGTCAACACATGTCAACATGCTGTGTGTTTCGTTGTGAAAGCGAAACTACTTTGCTTGGTCTTCCAAAAGAAGACGATATCCGCTTCGTCATGCCTGGAGCTGATCCGTGCTGGTCACTGAGGAAATACACCCTTTCAGCCAGTTTCAGCTGTTTCCATGATAGAACATCATTATAGTCAGATCTGAGCCTTATGCAAAACTCTTGTTTAAATCTCTCACCACAGTTTTGAATTCTGGATAAGACTGATCTCTCTGTATCACAGTGTTTCCAAGGGCTGACATTCACTGACCATACATACAAACACACCACAGGATAAATACTTAAAGGAACAGAGCGTCTTCACGGTAGTCTTATTTGAAATGTCACAGTTACTACAGTTCCTTCAACTAGACTTACAGTAATTAAGTCTCGCCCGCCGTGTGTGACGCTGTGTTTCGTTGTGAAAGCGAAACTACTTTGTTTGGTCTTCCAAAAGAGGGCACGGCTAGAAATCAGCGGTTAAGTTGTATTTACAACACTGTTCAAGAATAGTTCAACCCAAATATTCAGATGTGTCCAGCGCATTTTATGGAAGACTGTTTCCTGATCCTGGTAGAGTAGACTACAAT